GTAATAAAAAATATAAAGAATTTGGTTTTTAAAATGGTTAATCTTTCAGGCACATAAAATGATAACACGAAAGCACTTAACAACTAAAAGAAAGCGATCAAATTGAGGTTTTATCTTTATGGTTGAAACATGTACTAAATTTTCTGGTTATTGAAAATAACCATAACTAAAGCACTTTTTAAACTATTTTAACATAAAAACTATAAAATATTGAAAAACGCTTTTTATAACAGTGAACTATTATACATTGATACATTTTAATCACAAAGACACAACTCCAATTAACTTCTTTATCAATTGTTATGGACAATATCAATGGATTTTTATGACAAATCGACAACATTAATATAATGATTTTGACTAAAGTAATGTCGATCAATGCGCTGAAATAATGTTTTTTTGGTTTTATTGGTATAAAATGTGTATAAACACTATAAAAATAATCAGAATAAGAGATGGAATCATTTTAACAAATTATTTAAATTTACATGTAAAATAAAGTTACCAATAACTTTAAATACTCAAGTATATACTTTATATTTTTGTATATTATATTTTATTATGGTATATTTATTATTTATTATTTATAACGGTTATATATTTTAAAAGCATGAATCTTTTTCTTTTTACAAAAATAACACAAAAATATATTAAAATGGAAATTATCACAAAAAACTTTTAAACAATTACATCTCAATTTTTTATTGTTTTCACATTTTACCAATTTTAGCTTTTATCGTTAGTCGAATCAATAAGCTTTTTCTTGTTATAAAACATAAATGAAACTTCAAACCAAAATAATGTGATTTTTCAATTCAAAAAAGCTTTCATCTAATAAATTAAAAAATGTCTTATAATATTAACTCTACACTTTTTTACTTGACATTTACTCTTCTATTCGGTATTGTTATGGGTCAGACATATTGTTTAATACAAAACAAACTTACAAAATCAACAACTATTACTAATTCTTGCTATTATGTCTCTAATATGACCATAGGTGATACAACAACAAATGGCTCTATTGTGTTAACAGTCACTAATGGTGCGCAATTAAAATGTAATCTATATCTTGACATCATTGGAAATGGAAGTGTCAAAATGTCTCTACAAAGTTCAATTATTGCAATAAAAGATGTTTCCATGTATGATACATCTTCTTTTTATATTAAAGACTCCACTTCTTTATCTTTGACAAGTAATTACCGTGGATATAACAATTCTTTAATGTCATTAGAAGGAAATGGAATAATGACTGCCAATACGAAAATTGATATTTATAACAACTCAATGTTGTCTCTGAGTAATTCTTCATTTTTAAATGCGACAACTTATTTAACAATGAATCACAACTTTAATTGTTCTTTAATTGGAAATTCTCATATTTCAGTTGGAGTTAATGTTATATTTGGCAGTGAAGGGATAGTTAATATCAACGAGAATGCATCATTGACATCAAGAGGAATATATGTTAATAATAAAGTCAATTACTATATCAGAGAAAATGGTTCTATTGCTTCCACTCTTCTCATTAATTTTAACGATAACACAAGAATTTTTGCAAGTGAAAAAAACAGCAATAAAATAACAAACAATTAATTTATATACAAATGCAATTTTATTATTGTCTGATTCTTCCACTTTGAGTACACTTAAATTGTTAAATATCAGTGACAGCTCTTTAATTGTCATGATAAATAACTCCAAAATAATTAATGACCAGAAAATGTCATTATTTGGCAATACAAACAACATATTACTTGACATGTACAACACTTCACAAATAACAACAGTAATTGCTGTGACCATTGACAATGCAGTTCTTTCAATGAACGATAAATCTTCTTTAAAAACACAGAACATCACAATTTCATCAACAGGAGGTATTTTTATAAAAGGCTCAAATACTATATATCCAACTATTGAAAGTACTAACTTTAATTGTTCAAATGGAATTATCTTATTTTCAGGAGTTTCAAATATCACTTTGAGTGGTAGTTTAGTTGCTGATAAATGTAATTTATATTTAAATAAGAGAACAATACTTGACGCCCCACTTTTTGTGACTAACACTATTGGAAATATTAATGATTTAACTATTAATATATCAAACATTAATTTGGCCTATTTAAAAACTTCTTTTATTGGTATAATACCACAAAATGCTCAATTATTAGCTAATGGAAAATTATTGAGAATTGGACCATCCACAAAGGTCTTTTGTCATTTAAATAACTTCGAACCAATAAGTGAAAAAAGCAGTTATGTAGAAATGTACTGCCCCGTGGATATTCAGAAAATTGGTACATTACACCAATTGGTAATTTAAAGTTTTTAAAAGTAACAGCCAATTCGGTGAATTCAAAGACAACAATTTTGAAAGAAGATATTGATGAATTTTCAAGTGAAAGTATTAGTGTTGGAAATACACAAATTTCATTTTTTGAAACAGACAATTTTGTACTTGAAATAGTTAGTAGCGAGTTACTCGAAATTAACACTTTTTCATTGACAAAAACGGTTCTTTTTATTTCACAAACGGGGCTTTCTTATAATAATATGAAATACACAACTGCAATTAATACAAAAACTGGATTTAAATTGGTTGCTGGAATTACATGTAACGAGGCTATTTATAACTCTACAAATCAAACGTGTCAAACTTATTCGAATTGTGTGTCTCAGTATTGTTACCGATGTCTTTACGCCTCGAACGATTGTCTTATGTGTATCAATGGATATGTATTTTTAAATGGGAGATGCGTGAAAAAAGCAAATTGTGTATTTACAAAGAACAACAAATGTTTTAAATGTGAAAATGGGTATTATTTAAACAATGGAAATTGTGAAATACCAAAAGAGTGTTTATTAAACGATAATTTTAATAAATGTCTTATTTGTAATACTAAAAGTGGATATATACTTAAGAGTGGAGTTTGTGTAACTAAAGGAATCAATGTTGCTATAACAAGTAACAACAATATCATATCCTGTGTACAAGGATTCAAAATTAATTCAGTCTCTTTAACATGTGATTCTTGTGATTTATTAAATAACAAAGTTGAACGTTGTGAACAAGAAAAAGAAGTCAAATGTGGTCCAACAAGTCAAATGAATATGAATGGAAAGTGTGAGATAAACATGTGTCTCAATCCAAATGATGAAAATGGGAAATATTCAATGCAAATATCAAATTGTTTATTTATCACAAACACAAAGTGTGATGAATGTCAAAGTGGATACCTTCTTACAAATAATAGTTGTGTAAAAAGTGAAGAAGAACATTGTGAACAACAAAATGCATTTGGATGTACAAGATGTGAAGATTCATATTATTTTAATATGGCAACAAAAAGATGTGAAAAGAGTGATGAAAATTGTATGACTTGTTATGAGACATCAACTCAATGTCTTAGTTGTTATTATAGTTCTTATTTAACTAATTATAAATGTATTTCAAATGACAATTTAAAAGAGAAGTGCTCACAATTTGCAAGTAAGTCAAGTGGGTGTGTAGTATGGAAAAATAGTTATTATCGAGTTGGGTTGGATTGTCTTAAATGTAATGAAAAGTGTTTAACATGTAACAACAATGAACAGTGTCTTACTTGTAATTCAACAAATTTTAAGACGATAAACAATGATTGTCTCCCTCAAAGTGGTATTAATGGTTGTAAAGATAAAGTGACTCAAATTGGATGTTTAAATTGCCAAGATGGGTATTTTACGGTGAATTCCGATGCATGTGAAAAATGTGGTACGGCATATCATCTACAACATCAAGTGTAGTCGTTTAAATTTAGCAACCTTTTTAGTTTCAAAAAAATGTTGACAATATTCATCCAAACATAAACTGTTCCTTTGGAATGGGTTATTCCACGTTACACATTCTAATAACGTCATTCCAAAAAAATATCAGCATTTTTTGTTCATCTGCACG